CCCCCCCCCCCCCCCCCCTAAGGACTACCGAGGAGGTATACATATATATCAAGAAGTTACTACACCATCTGGGATCCCACAGGGGCAAGAGGACTACCTACTACCCGACCCACCAATGGTCTCTTTGGACAGATGGACAGCACGCCTGTGTAGTGTGCACTGCGGGAGCCTCCGATAGGAAGCTCCCACAATGCGCACGGCTCAATGCTGTGGCAAGACCGAAACTGGAGACCATGCGCCATAGATCCCAATCCCAAATTAGGGGGGTCCGCAATCTCATCCATTTTATAATGTTTTCAACGAAGCACCAATAATAACCAGAAACGTGTATACCCGGGTACTTTTATCACGACTATATTTGGGGTACAGTTAGAAATCAACACGATGGCACCCGACCCCCAGGCTGTCAGCTGATTGGTCGAAAAAACGTTGTGCCCATTTCTGAAGAAACCTCCATCGGGTACAACTTCCGCTGGAATTACGACCCTCTGGGTGTGACCGATATTAACTACTGGTGTACCCGAAAGAGGTCGATTTTATACCCAGAAATGGTCACACAGTCCCGGCGCGCGACGCTCTTCCATAAAACCCGCAGAAAAAACGTGTACCGCACATACCGTGTACCGCACATACAAAACCACAACCAAACCACCAACAACGCTCGCTCGTTTATCGTTCATGGGCTCCACCTCCATAGGATACCGGCCCTTCTCAACAGAGGCTCGGACTCGCTTGACGCGCGAGTACTTCGGTGTGGTTCAGATCAGTAAAAGCACAGAGAGAGAGAAAAACGGGCACGACCAGTCTCGTGCATCATGCTTCCGAGGCACAAGACACGGGACACATACAGATGCAACCGCAGGAAGGGTTCCAGCCCCCTCCTCCTATGTGGCCTCGGGTGGGTCGTCTAGCTAGTAGAAGTGGAGGATAGGGGCCACAGGGGCAGACGACAGAGTCCAATGATGGGAGAAAAAAAAAAAATGATACAATGATACAGCGGTTTATTGGTTTCGCCGCGATCTACGGCGGATGCTGTCGGAGATTGATGTCGTGTTGATTTCCAAGCCAACGCTAAAATGGTAATAACCCCTGCAGGTACCCGTCCCTGGTTACTTCTCTTGAAAAAGCTTTGAAAGGTGTTCCATCCGCGTCGCCCCCTCGGTGAGATGTTGAGTGCAGTTGCAGACTGCTCTGTGCTGCAGACACACGGCAAGGTCAGCACGAGACACAGGCCCCAGGGGAGAGCGAGAGATCGTCTCTCTGTAGCACACGCCGCGGTCGAAGCGATGCCTTCGTCTATCACAAGCCCGTGCTGGCTGCTGCTATTGGCGCTCCTCAACGCTCTCGCGAGAGCAAGGGCGTTTTCTTTGGGAATCAACGCGAGAGGGAGCGTGATTTCATGTCGAACTTGGTGCGGGGAAGACACTGCTGTGACCGGCACGATCCGGCCGGGAAGAGGGTCGCCACTCCGCATGAACCAATCTTACAAGAACGACGCAGAGGTGGGGGGAGAGTGCTTGGTGGTACGGCATTGGGTGGTGAGCTCCGTGCCAGGGTCTGTCCGGCTGCGGTGCATGGCTTTGAGAACCATGAGAACTGCAACATACATGATCTTCAACGAAGCTATCTGCGGCAGTCGTAGCACTCCCGTCATAGATAGCACGTGATAGACCGCTATCCATAGGGCTTCAGGGCTTGTTTTGGCGTTGACCATAGCACCTCTATGCAACACCCGACTAGGAGGGCCCAAGTAAGGTTGGGGGGTAATCCGAGCTTTACCGTTGAACTTTATCCAGGCAAGAAACATTGATGCGGCGGAATAGTTCCCCGGCAGGTGACGTGGCCACTATAGCGCCAAAAGTGTTGAGTGCAGCAGAGCAAGATACAAGATAAAATGTGCCAGTACCACGGAGGCTCAAACAATACATCCGCGTACAAACGAACTTAAGAAGTGGGAGGTGGTGCCAGTGGTCCAAGTCTCGTCCGCAGTCTTGTTACATATGTGTAAGTACATTTTTTTTAGAAATTGGGGGAAGTTGTTGTTGTTGTTTTCACATTAAAAAGTATGATACTTCATCACCACCATTCGACATAGAATCACAGCAGTCGGGCGAGACGTGTTTTTTTTTTTTTTGCGAGGGAAGGGAACCTTTTTTGTTTACCCACTTCCTTCAAATGCGGCCGTGGGCTTTCGATATCTATTGCACGTTTTGTGGAAGCAACTTGCGAGAAATGACAAGCCTCATACCTCAACTCATTCCTTCTACATCTTCTCCTCCACTCCCATACGATAAAAAAAAATCAATTATTTTCGCGCGAAGCGCGACAAGAAGGGGCGGAGAGAGACATCAAAGCAAGCGTAGATAGATATGGATGGAGCCTACGCCACCACAGAAGTCACCAGTGGACACGTTCATACCTCATCTGACACCACCAGTCAGTCAGGGGATGACTGAGAGCGCTGTTTAGCTTTCACATCTTCAGCACATGCAGCTGGTGCTGCAGCTAGCTGGTGCTGTTGTTATTGCTGCTGCCGTGCAGGATGCGTGTGCACTTGCTTTCCTCGCTTTCGCTGCTAGCAGCGGGCAACGGACTCTACAAATCGCCCCCCATGCCTCCTACGATGTGCATATTTGGCCGCCCTCGGCCTACAGCGTTGTGTACGTCTCACATGTCTCTGTGTCGGGGGTGCTTCTTTGGTGGAAGCAAAGACCGGCCTGTAGACGAACAGACCGCAGACAGATTTGACTTGTGTGCACTCGCACGGTTCCCTCGCTTTTGCGCTGCTAGCAGCAGGCCTCGGGGTCTAAAAATGGCTTCCTACGCCAGCCATGACGTGTGCCTTTGGCCGGCTTTGGCCTACAGCAGTGTGTACGTCTACTTGTCTCTGTTTTTTTTTTTGTGTGGGGGTGGGAATGCGTCTGTGTGGGAAGCTCGAAAGATCAGTAGATTGAGGTGATGCAGACGGACCGCAGATTGACTTGCGTCGTCACTCGCTTGTGCTGCCGACAGCAGGCAACGGGCTGTAAGAGTCACACCCAACGCCTCCTATGATGTGTGCCTCTGGCTGCCCTTCGCCTACACCAGTCCGTATGCTGCCGTGCTGGTTGTCTCGTATGTTCTTTGCGTGGTGTGTGTGGTGCTGCTGTACAAGAGGATTTCGGGGATTCTCCCGAGAGCGTCGTGCCCATCGCTCAATCAGCTCTGTCTGTCCAAGATAATGTCCTACATAGTCGACATGTGATTGGTGCGAGGACAGCATCTACCCGGCTCTACCCCTCTAAAACATGAATAATTTCTTCTTTGTTCTTCCGGTCCAACGTAATTATTGTCCTACGTCTAGGGTGCTGTGCCACATCTTCCCAGCATTACCCAGCCGGTCGCCCCGGTAGTCTAGTTGGTATCCTCGAAACCTTCTAAAAGTCAGGTCAGGGGTTTGAATTCCGGCGTCAGCGAGCTTTTCTTGCAAAGTGAGTTTTTCTCTCGCTTCCGCTCCTGGCCTAGTGGATAGCGCTAGTTCGTGGGTACACAGAGGGAAGAAAGTGCTGAAGTCTTCTCGCACTAAGAATTGAAGGCAACGTACCGCAGGAGGGGAGGGTAGAGAGGGACCCTTCTGTGTGACCACGGGTTGGAGTAGACGGCACCAGCGCTGTGAGCGCTGATTTGAAGTGAAGACGAAAAAACTATTTATATATGTACAGAGAGATACACACGACGGCTACCAAACTTTCTGGTTGAGCCTGTTGCCAATAGGGGAGGCATTGCTGTATGCTGTTCGAGAAATCGTGAAAATACAGGTAGCTTCGGCTTACGCTATAGTTCGTTGTGTCATACCACACACGAAAAATCTCCTGTGTGGCCTTCCTCCTGTGTGGCCTTCCTGTGTGACCGACCCCGGCTGGTTCGTCCAGGAATTTATTCCGAACTGTGTGAGGACCGATTTCTACATAAACGGGATGATGGCATCAACAAAAATCGGTCGCAGGAAGCAGCAACCGACATATTGGTAGCCACGGGAATTTGACCGGCACCTTGCATTCCCAGGATGTCAAACGTCGGTCCAACGACGCTTATCACACCCCGTTTCTCTGGACCTTGACCTAATCTCGTCGCTGGCGCGTGCAGGCGGAGTTCTACGCGAAGCGGTTGCTGGACCTCATCACGCACAACACTTTGCTGACGGCAAATACATACTGGATGGAGCTCAGAGGTTGGTCCGCTGCCGACTTCTTGTCCCGTGTATAGCTGCTGGTGACATTGCAGCAATGTACGTCTACATGCAGATTTTTGAGCGGCACGGCGACTTGGCAGTGCCTTCGGCGCCAGAAGAGTTGGGAATGGCACAAAGAGCAGGAGCTGTTTCTCTCCTGGGCATTTTCTCCGTTTCGATGCAATTCGACCGAACCGACACAACGAACCAGCTCATCACTCCTGTGCTACGACCTTATGTGTTGTGTCGTGTCAGAGCATGAAGGGTTACCAGGTATATATCTAGGTGTCTAGAAAGCGGCATCAGGTCTGATCAGATTAAATCGGGTAAATGCTCCCGACAGGCACTAAGAATACCCAGATGAGTTGAATAACATTGGCAACCCGAGTATCATGGGGGTCCTATTCGACGGCAGCTTCACACTTGTTTCATGAGATGGTGTGCGTGTGCTTTCTCCCTTCCTCTTACTTGACTGTGGTGCTACAACTTGCCGCCGCCGTACCCTTCGCTCTTCCCTCTCTCTCACTCTCTCTCTCTTTCTCTCGCTGTCTCTCTCATATTCCATCTCTCCCTGAAACATCGACCAGAGTCCACCATTGTACAACCCACAGTCGGATCCATCGTCCTTGTTCTCTGTAACCTGCCTCCATACGCCGATATATGCTACCACCATGAATTGCAGGAAACATGTACATCGAGTGGCTTAACAGGTACATCGAGGAACGGGGGGGTGTTGAGGACGTCGGCTGGCATGCCTTCTTCGCCGGTATGCTGCGAGCACCTCCAGAGGATGTCGTCGTCAAGAAGCTCATCAAGAGCCCTAGGGGGGGCTCAGGCAACAACCCTTTCCTGGCTGACAGGTGGAGTGTGGTGTGTGTAAGTTACACCGCGTGGCGTGCACCCTCAAATACATAGAAGTATGATGGTACCAGGACCACTTTGTTCATACGGTAGCAGCTTGCGGCGATATCGAGCTTGTTTTCACGGAGCTGGACGCAATGCTTCTGATGTGTCGGTGTTGTTCGTATGTGTTGTCTTCGCTTCAGAAGCACGGTGTTTCCTGGAGCACCGAAAATTCACGGGTTCAGTAAGATTGTTTGCAGGTTTACGGTGTACGAACATTCTGCCTTTCAGACTACGTTGCCGCTGTCGTTTGAGCGGAGGATTCCGTCAGATCCCACACTTGACAAAAATTAGTTCCTGTGTTGGGAGGACATAGCGCTGCAAGCCGCTTGGGCGTCGATTTCTCCATCGCCCGGCCGCGCTCGTCCACGCCACAACTGACAGTGTTCGGAATATTCGAGCGTCTTTCAAGTGTTGGTCATCAACCTCGCCATGACTAAGGCCCCTGTCGTGCGGGCTGCTTGCTTACGGCAGCACACCCCCCCGGGTGTGTATGACACCCGTTGATCCTGTTGATCCGTTATTTTACTATCCCAAACGCTAACCACGTTCTATCCCACTGGAACACACCCTGTTTGGTATGCTAACCTGGCGGAGAATTATGTAAAACCCCGAGGTAGTCGCCGAGGGGTTGCTGATATGTACCGTGGGGTGCGCACGGCGTGCATCGCATGTTTCCTCCGCGCCAGGAAGCCTGTGGAGTACAACGAGACGATTGAGCCAACGACCATCGCGCGCCGCCTCATGGAGATCCGGGAGCAGGTGGCGGAGCAGCTCGGCTCGGACCTGCAACAGATCGCTGCGGAGAACGCTCGGCTGCAGGCAGACTACCACTTCGAGGCGAGCGTTCTTGTTCGTTTTTCTAGCCTACATACGAGCGGCTCGGCTCTGGCGTACAGCTGGTATGTAAAAAATTGAGGCTCTGCCGTCAGGCGTACCACTACGAATTTCTCTTGTTTGGAGTTTTAGGTGACAGTCGCCGGTCATGAGGGATGACTTCGTTTGATGCCTTGACAGCAGATACGGTCCTTCACCGATTCGTCCCGAGGCTTGCTGGTTAGCGTAAGCCTGCGACGGCGGAAGCCGTATCTTGCCCCCAGAGTCGGTAGGAAGGCCAATGCACAGAGGTCAGAACGGGTGCTCTACTCAAGCATTGTCACAATGTACAGCAACAAGGTAATCAAAACGACGAGTGGATGAATGACAAAGTCAGTGACGTGTCAATAACAACCAAGACCCCCCCGTAGCATCAGCGCATTGACCAAGACAAGAAGCGTGACTGCATCGGCCACTGCGACGTCTATGACGGTAACGACGCACTTGGAAGCGGGGACGAGCGGTTTCATAGGCAGGTTGTAGTTCATATCTATCGGCCATTGCTTTTTGCCAAGCAGCAGTTGCACGAGCAAAAGCCCCAACAACATGCTCGCATGAAACGCCTCCAAACCAATGTGGCACCCTACGACTATCTTAAGCAGCATAGCCAAGCCTTTATTCAGCAGTAGCCGATTGTTGACGCTGTGGATTGAGGCCGACACCCCTTTCTTCATGTCGAACCGAAGCAACTTTCCCCCCTCGTCGTGCTACCTATAGTCCGAGCTTGGGCCGGACCGAGCCCAAGCTTTGCGTCTCTCAAGTTTGAAACCGATGACCGACGTGGATCCCTCTTCCGGTACCGGCAACCCACCGCGACGACGCTCTACCTACAAGGACGCTTTAGAGGTGACTCTTGTTTTTGCCGGCAAAGTCTTCCTTGGGTATGAACGCGTGTTGGGACGCTCACACTGGTTGCTGGATTGGTAGCCCAGGAAGGGTTGATGTAAGACTGTACGATGGTTTGTAGATTTGTGTTTGGTTCATCGAGGCCGGCTGGGCCCTTCGAGCTAAGAACACGTTAGCCGCGTGGGCTGTTGGACCTTGGCAAACGTCACTGACGGCAGTTGATTCACACCAACTCGTGCTTTGTTTTCATCTCGCATCACGCGTTAATGGCACGACTGCCATGTTCTGATGAGCCCACTCCAGAGGCGCGCCTTGTATGTCGTCGGTGGTTGGTGGTTGGGCGGCCGCGCTGACACCCAATTGGAAAGCTTTGTCTCGCGCGCGCGGGTATACATACTTGTCGATAGTGCCTCGTCTCGATGTCGCCATCGGCAGTGATGTTTCCTGGAGCTGAGAGGCGGAAGAAACCCGTTTTTTTTTTCTGGAAACCTCTCAACGACACCGAGTAGACGCATCCTTGAGTGTTGTAAGTGGAAGGCGCGCTTCGATCGTAAGTCTTGTTCAATGTGCTCGGAATATTGTGGTCTGCTTCCCCCGCTCTGATGCCTTCACGCCGAGCAGGCGAACACCGCGTTGTTCCCACGATGCCCGTTGAATCGTGTCCTCCTGCTAGTCCCCCCTTGTATGTCCCGACTCTGATGCCTATCGGACCCTTGTACTTTTGTACCACCAACAGCGTCAACGCCGCCGTGTTGTCCCGCGAAATCGCTATGTGTAGCTCGTGACGGCGGCGAGCATGAGGCGCGTCAAGACGGAGTTGCGAATACGAGGGGATATGGTCACATTGGACTGGTTGGATCGTTTCTCGAGCCGCGAGCTGGAGCAGAGGTGATGTCCCCTGCCCCGTTGAGTTGTGTTTGGGCCTTATGTGGTAGAGGGTGGTTCTGCAGTGCCAACTGAGGAGTGTGTCACCCCCTCTCCCCCGCAGACTAGTAGCGCGCCTATTTTGTAAGTAGCAATCCAAGGTACCGAGATTGACCCGCTGCCTCAATAGATTTTTGGAAACGGTTTCGAGAAGGAGCAGGTAACCTAGCTAGCACGACTAAAAAGGTAGATAATCTTGATGGACAGGACAACGTTCAGAAGGTCCCGTCAAGTGCTGAGTTCCATGCTTGTTGCCACCCGCTCTCTACTGGATGCTTGTGTTTTTCCCTATGTGGATCGATGATCTCACACCAGAAGGAGAGCCGGCATGACATCTCCATGTTGGGCCATTGTAGCCTACAACGTACAACCACCAATGTACGGTACGTCCTCTTCTCCAACACCCACCGCGTTGCTGATGGTTCCCATTGTACTTGATGGCTTTGCTCGGTCAGGGGGAACGCCCTCCTTGAGTCTCTGTTCGCGGGGCCGATGGTGCTCATCAAGGACCCGCTCCGTGATCGGCCACAAGTTGTCGAGCCACTTAAGGTGGCCCAGGAGATCATGCAGGTCCGTCATTGGCTTAACCTTAGTACGAAGTTGACACGGACAAGCTGGTGCGTGATGGTTGTTGTTGTACGTGTGGTGGACTGGAGTGAGAAAACCTTCCCTTCGCCCTGTCACACAATACCCGCCCACACTTCGTCAAAGCAGAGGTTTCAAACGCATGACTCGGCCTTTGCCTTTTCGTAGAAAACGGAGAGTATGTACTAGTGGTGTATTTCCTTTCTCGATCGTGTCGAGTCGTCTCAGTCCGTACTTGGAGTACTGGAATATTTTGCGGGCGACATCCCGATCACTATTTCGGCAAGCTCCCAATAATGCAGGTTCCGGCCTCGATAACCGCTGCTGCTGCTGCTGCTGCCCTGCTGCCGCTGCCGCCGCTGGGATTCCATGTTCAGGGCAGAGAGGTCGTAGCCGAAGAGCTCATCACGGTCTTGAAAGGGGTGCCACAAGATCACCTTGCGATGACGGTTTCGCTTCTCAACGAGAAGTGGGAATCTACAGGAGATCCGGAAAGCGGAGAACCGGATTTCCGCGAGAGCTAGGCGCTGGCCTGTTGATAAACGGTGTGCTCTTCTTGTATGATGGGCCGCGAGATGTAATACAGTGTCGCGGGTGTGATGTAATTTGCTGGACGAAGGAGTAAGACCTCGAGTAGGGTACTGCTACACGTAATGAGCCAGGGTCTTACGAGCAACATCTTCGTCGAAACTTGTACATGACGTGTATATGGTATGGGGTGGCGCATGCACCCCGAAACCACCCTCTTAGAGTTTCGTTTTCGCAGTCGCCTGTGGGAATGGGTGAAAAATCAACCCTTGTCCTCTCCGCGCATTGATGTTTGGCATTTCACGTCACTAATAGTGTCTGCACCAAGATTGGTCGTGAAGGATGTCAAGAAACGGGTCTGTCCCGTCGTTTGTTCGGGTCCAAGTCCCAACGAGAAAGTGTCTCGAGTGGCTGTGTTTCCCCATCACACAAGGGTTGGGTGTGATCGGTAGGGTTTCAAGTCTTGGGGTATTAGAAAAGTATTGCATAACTCACGGTAGAAATACGAAAGGGTATCGGAAGTGTCACGGAACTCGACAGAACGCATTGGGTATGTGAGCATGTTGTGACCCCAAGTGCATGCAGGCAGCAAGTGGCTTACGGTGCCGGCTCGACTTGACCGTCGCGGACAGTCGTATGCAGTCATACTCTCTAGTCACAGGTAATGAAAACGGAGCAACACTCATGTTCTTTTCCCGCAAGGGTGACGTTAAGCGTTTGTGCCCACGTCCCTTACAGCTCTGATGTTAGCACACCCTTCGGCTATTTACTTCTGAAGCAATACCCACGAGGCTACCGTCGCATCTGGGTCTAATTCCACACAGACAATTTTTCTAACTGTATCTTCGTACTGCGCGTGTATGCTGGTTTGCTCGAGGTGGACACAGACTCCTACCGGTGGCGGGTACGTTGTTGAAGACTGCAGGGCCAATACCTCACGAAACCACCCCGTGCAAGCCCAGCCTACGTGCTGACTAATCCACACTGGAATATCGAGCGATCACGAGCAGCGGGCGTAGACACGACAACACGAAAAACGACCGGGGTCTCCATGCAGTGTATCTCATCGAATGCACCCATGCTGTCGTCTTCGTATAGCAGACCTAGCTTATCGTTCTGGACATGCGACACGTCTGTGTGCAGAAGGACAACGCCACGAAACGTCGCCGTGGTTTGCTAAGATAAGTCGATACCAGGTAGAAATCGTGCACGCAACACACAGCGACGAAGCAGGGACCACAAAAAATGTGAAAGTGATCATCTTCGTCGCTGGAGCGGCCGTCCGCCTTCATGGCCTTCCTCTCCTTGACACCGTCACACCGCTCCCCCCCCCCCCCCCCCCCCCCCCCCCCCCCCCCCCCCCCCCCCCCCCCCCCCCCCCCCCCCCCCCCCCCCC